AGCACAGCCCCACTGCATGGTAAAATAACAATTTTTTCCAAGAGTTCTTATTTAAATGTAAAGAATAAAACATGCCTGACGAAAAAGGCCTTTTTGTTGTGGTTTGATTTGGGGTTTTAGTTATGTATTTTTTAGCGGGGGTTCCTTTCCTCATGTGTATGTTCTGCACAACCATAATGCATGTTTTAATCTTAACACATGTAACGCATGAAGATGCTTTGGAATCTATGAAAAGAAACGAAGGTTTGCACACATTTATGTTATTGAAATTGATGTTCTTGAAAGATCTATGTACTTGGAACCTCTGGCAGAACATCAGCAGGAAGGATGCCATTAAAAAATAAAAATGTTTTCTTTAAATTTGCGTTTTTGAGCTGCTGAGCCGTAAATGGACCTGGTGGTGACAGCTTAAATGGCAATGTCCAACTCTGGAATAATGAGCAGAACCCAGCAGACTCACCTATAATAGAAGTGGGAACAGTGCTAAGGGGTTTCTCCTGTTACCTACAGATGAAATGTTTGACTTGCGCTTCCTTTGAGACTCCTTGTGCTTCATCACATGAGCATGTTGGACATTTTTATGGGCAAGTGCATAAGTTATGTAAAATTTGCCATTAGGCAAGATGGAGAATCTGTAATGAAAATAAACAGGCTGACAGGCTTTGGTGAGTAAGATCTTGTAGCTGTGCTGCACAGCATGGTCCTAATTGTCATAAAACTGAAAGGTCTTTCATGCACTATCCATAAATTATATTGTAAAGCACTATACAAACTGTTGGCACTATATAAACCCTGTATAATAATAATAATAAAAAATTAAAGAATGTGTTACCCCAGCATCTCATATTCCTGATAGAGTATGTATCAGGCAGCACAGTGGCTAAATGGTTAGCACTTCTGCCTGGTAGTACTAGGGTCGTTGGTTTGAATCCCAGCCACAGTACTCCCTGCCTGGAGTTTGCATGTTCTCCCTTTGCCTGCGTGGGTTTCTTCCAGGTACTCCAGTTTCCTCCCACACTCCAAAGACATGCAGGTAGGTTAATTGGATCCTGTCCAAATTGGCCCTAGTATGTGTATGTATGAATGTAAGTTAGGGACCTTAGATTGTACACCCCCCTTGAGGGTTAAGTACTGATGTGAATGTACAATATATATATATATATATATATATACACACACACACACAGTGAAGGAAATAAGTATTTGATCCCCTGCTGACTTTGAATGTTTGCCCACTCACAAAGAAATGATCAGTCTAAAAATCGAAAGGTAGGCGTATTGTGACACTGAGAGACAGAATAGCAACAAGAAAATCAGAAGAAATGCATGTCTAACAAATCATGCACTGATTTGCATGTTCATGAGGGAAATAAGTATTATAAGTAATAAGTGGCAAATCCCTTCTTGGCAATCACAGAGGTCAGACATTTCCTGTAGTTGGCCACCAGGTTTGCACACATCTCAGGAGGGATTTTGGCCCACTCCTCTTGGCAGATCCTCTCCAAGTCATTAAGGTTTGGTGGCTGACGTTTTGCAACTCAAACTTTTAGCTCCTTCCACAGATCTTCAATCGGATTGAGGTCTGGAGACTGGCTAGGCCACTCCAGGACATTAATGTGCTTCTTCTTGAACCACTCCTTTGTTGCCTTGGCTGTGTGTTTTGGGTCATTGTCGTGCTGGAACACCCATCCACGACCCATTTTCAATGCCGTGGCTGAGGGAAGAAAGTTCTTACCCAAGATTTGACGGTACATTGCCCCGTCCATCGTCCCTTTGATGAAGTGCAGTTGTCCTGTCCCTTTAGCAGAAAAAACACCCCCAAAGCAGAATGTTTCCACCACCATGTTTGACAGTTGGGATTGTGTTCTTGGGGTCATAGGTAGCATTCCTCCTCCTCCTCCAAAGACGGCAAGTTGAGTTGATGCCAAAGAGCTTAATTTTGGTCTCATCTGACCACAACACTTTCAACCAGTCCTCCTCTGCATCATTCGGATGTTCAGTGGCAAACTTCAGGTGGGCCTGGACATGTGCTTTCTTGAGCAGAGGGACCTTGCGGGCACTGCAGGATATCAATCATTATCGGCGTAGTGTGTTACCAATTGTTTCCTTGGTGACTGTGGTCCCAGCTGCCTGGAGGTCATTGACAAGTTCCTCATGTGTAGTTCTGGGTCAATTCCTCACTGTTCTCATGATCATTGACACTCCACGAGGTGAGATCTTGCATGGTGCACCAGTCATAGGGAGACTGACAGTTGTTTTGTGTTTTTTCCATTTGCGAATGATTGCACCAACTGTTGTCACCTTCTCACCAAGCTGCTTGGCGATTGTTTTGTAGCCCAGTCCAGCCTTGTGTAGGTCTATAATCTTGTCCCTGACATCCTTGGGCAGCTCTTTGGTTTTTGCCATGGTGGAGAGTTTGGAATCTGATTGTTTGATTGCTCCTGTGGACAGGTGTCTTTTATACAGGTAACAAAATGAGATTAGCAGCACTCCCTTTAGGAGACTGCCTCTAATCGTAGCCTGTTACCTGTATGCAAGACACCTGGTAGCCAGAAATCCTGCTGAATGATAGGGGATCAAGTACTTATTTCCCTCATGAGCATGCATATCAGTACATAATTTGTTAGACATGCATTTCTTTTGAATTTTTTTTTGCTATTCTGTCTTTCAGTGTTACAATACACCTACCATTCGATTTTTTAGACTGATCATTTATTTGTGAGCGGGCAAACTTTCAAAATCAGCAGGGGATCAAATACTTATTTCCTTCACTGTATATGTAAAGCGCTGCATAAATTGACAGCGCTATATAAGTACCTGAAATAAATATCTGTTGTACCATATATATATGTTAAAACATAATGCTTCTGTCAGGGCTCCCGGGTGTGACCAGAGGTGTGTGACTGACGCACGGAAACGCAGACTTCAGATAAGTTATAAACAATTTATTAACACTAACAATACAAACATAAACGCAGTGCAACACCAAAACATAACACAGTGCAAACGAACCAAACCAAACCACCCACACAGATAACAGTACATACAGTGCAAGCGTCGCCAGGCAGGCCGGGTCAAAATCAATCGGGCAGATAGGTACAGGGGGAGCAAGCGGAGAATAGTCAGGTCACGAGCAGGGTACAGCAACTAACAGGCAGGTAGGTACAGGGGGTCAGGCAGAGAATGGTCGGGGTCACAAGCCAGGGATCAGAACAGGAGAAGTCAGCAGAGGTCAGAATCAAGCCGGGTCAGCAACAAGACAGGAACAGGAATAGGAGCAGGATGCAGGAACAAGATACAGGGCCCAGGAAAAACACAACACCAAGGCAGAGTCTGCAGGTCTGAATGTCCCTTAAATACACCAGTATAATTAGTTCCAGGTGTTTGACTGGCTGCAAGGTTGAGTCTCTGATTGCTGGGAGCACCCGCTGGCCAGCCCTGGTACTGCAGCTCACAAGGCAGGTGAGTCCCACTATTGCTGGCCAGTCCATTCCTGACAGTACCCCCCCTCAAGGAGCGGCCTCAGGACGCTCCAAACAGTCCTAGCTGGGCAAAATGTGTTCCACCGCCCGGGTCTGGTAACTGGCGGGATATCAAAGACTGGCACACCGGGCAGGACTCCGGGCAGCGGGCACACCGGGCAGGACTCCGGGCAGCGGCACACCGGGCAGGACTCCGGGCAGCGGCACACCGGGCAGGACTCCGGGCAGCGGCACACCGGGCAGGACTCCGGGCAGCGGCACACCGGGCAGAGGCACACCGGGCTGGACTCCGGGCTGAGGCACACCGGGCTGGACTCCGGGCAGAGGCACACCGGGCTGGACTCCGGGCAGAGGCACACCGGGCTGGACTCCGGGCAGAGGCACACCGGGCTGGACTCCGGGCAGAGGCACACCGGGCTGGACTCCGGGCAGAGGCACACCGGGCTGGACTCCGGGCAGAGGCACACCGGGCTGGACTCCGGGCAGAGGCACATCGGGCTGGACTCCGGGCAGAGGCACATCGGATTACCAGGTGAAGCAGCAGGCACCGGGCCCCCCCAGCGGGGGCGACAGGCATCGGGCCCCCAAGCGGAGCGGCGGGCGCCGGGCCCCCAGGAGGGGCGACAGGCATCGGGCCCCCAGGCGGGGAGACAGGCATCGGGCCCCCAAGCGGAGCGGCGGGCGCCGGGCCCCCAGGAGGGGCGACAGGCATCGGGCCCCCAGGAGGAGCGACAGGCATCGGGCCCCCAGGAGGGGCGACAGGCATCGGGCCCCCAGGAGGGGCGACAGGCATCGGGCCCCCAGGCTGGGTGACAGGCATCGGGCCCCCAGGCGGGGCGGCGGGCGCTGGACCCCCAGGCGGAGCGGAGCGACAGGTCTCGGGCCCCCAGGCGGAGTGGCGGGCGCCGGACCCCCAGGCGGAGCGACAGGTCTCGGGCCCCCAGGCGGAGCGGCGGGCGCCGGACCCCCAGGCGGAGCGACAGGTCTCAGGCCCCCAGGCGGAGCGGCGGGCACCGGACCCCCAGGCAGAGCGACAGGTCTCGGGCCCCCAGGCGGAGCGGCGGGCGCCGGACCCCCAGGCGGAGCGACAGGTCTCAGGCCCCAGGCGGAGCGACAGGTCTCAGGCCCCCAGGCGGAGCGACAGGTCTCAGGCTCCCAGGCGGAGCGACAGGTCTCAGGCCCCCAGGCGGAGCGGCGGAAGCGGACCCCCAGGCGGAGCGGCGGGCGCCGGACCCCCAGGCGGAGCGACAGGTCTCGGGCCCCCAGGCGGAGCGGCGGGCACCGAGTCACCAGGCACGACAGTGGGCACCGAGTTGTCTGGCAAGACTGCGGGCACCGAGTCGTCTGGCAAGACTGCGGGCACCGAGTCAACTGGCGGAACAGCGGGCATCGAGTCAACTGGCGGAACTGCGGGCACCGAGTCGTCTGGCAAGACTGCGGGCACCGAGTCGTCTGGCAAGACTGCGGGCACCGAGTCGTCTGGCAAGACTGCGGGCACCGAGTCGTCTGGCAAGACTGCGGGCACCGAGTCGTCTGGCAAGACTGCGGGCACCGAGTCAACTGGCGGAACAGCGGGCATCGAGTCAACTGTCGGAACAGCGGGCACCGAGTAGTCTGGCAAGACTGCGGGCACCGAGTCAACTGGCGGAACAGCGGGCATCGAGTCAACTGTCGGAACAGCGGGCATCGAGTCAACTGTCGGAACAGCGGGCACCGAGTAGTCTGGCAAGACTGCGGGCACCGAGTCGTCTGGCAAGACTGCGGGCACCGAGTCGTCTGGCATTGGATCGTCTGGCTCGACAGCGGGCATCGGGTCACCAGGTATGACAGGGGGCACTGGGTCACCAGACATCAGGTCATTTGGCTCGCCAGCGGGCACCGCGTCATCTGGCAAGGCAGTGGGCACCGAGTCACCAGGTACGACAGCGGGCTCTGAATCAATTGGCACGACAGCGGGCACCGGATCAGGTACCGGATTATCTGGATCAACAGCGGGCATCGAGTCAACTGGCCTAATAGGATCATCAGGCTGGATCAGTTCATTATGCTGGGTAGAAGCATCCGGCTGAGTAGAGGCTTCAGGCTGAGTGGAGGCTTCAGGCCGAGTGGAGGCTTCAGGCCGAGTGGAGGCTTCAGGCCGAGTGGAGGCTTCAGGCCGAGTGGAGGCATCAGGCCGAGTGTGAGGCATCAGGCCGAGTGGAGGCATCAGGCCGAGTGGAGGCATCAGGCCGAGTGGAGGCATCAGGCTGAGAGGAGGCAGGCTTCAGGCTGAGTAGAGGCTTCAGGCTGAACCACGGAAGGCAGGTTCTCAGACGGTAGGCTCACCGGTTTGGATACTGGCAGGATGGTACTGGTTGGAAAGAATTTTCGCTTTTTTCTGGTTTTAACTACTGGGGCACTGCAAGTAAACGCAGGTCTGCAAATGAATGGAGCAGCTGGAGACAGAGAAGAGCTGGAGGATGGAACAGGGGAAGGAACAGTCGCTACAGAGGGCTTCTTTACAGGGTTAAAGGCAGGATAGGTGCAGCGAGTGGGAACAGGGTACTGACATGCGGTAGATAGCCAAGTATACTGGGCTGTAACTGGAGGAGCTGTTGGGAATACAGGAGTAGAGCTTTGAGGAGATAGATTAGAAGCAGGACTGGGTCTTTGTAAGCTGACTGAGGCTGGGTGTAACAAATCTGTCCATGTCTGCAGTATGGGTTGAACAAAGCTCAGCTTACACAAAGCCTGTCTGACCAAAGACTGCACTGCGTTTATACAATCTCTTAGTACCTGTGGTGAACATGTGGAATAACGCTCCAGAAAGTAACCCACATCATCCTCTAATAACCATACCAAGGACTCTACCTGGTCTGCACTAAATGGTGGCAAAAATTCATCCCTGCATTCGGGGGGTACCAGATGAAACCAACTCAGCACAAACCTCAATCAATGGCTGCACCTCAGAGAACTCTGTGCCCTGATCTACTAGAACATGAGCGAGCCGTATACATTCTAGCAGTTCATCCCGGGGATACTCCTTCAGAGTTTGATAAGCATACTCCCTGTCATCAAACACTAGCAGATATAAATACGCAACCTCACCCAGATCCATCCTTCCCATCAACAAACCAAGATGGCTTCCCTGTGCAGCCACTTCTGGTCAGGATTGGCCTTGGTGTAATGTCAGGGCTCCTGGGTGTGACCAGAGGTGTGTGACTGACGCAGGGAAACGCAGACTTCAGATAAGTTATAAACAATTTATTAACACTAACAATACAAACATAAACGCAGTGCAACACCAAAACATAACACAGTGCAAACGAACCAAACCAAACCACCCACAGATAACAGTACATACAGTGCAAGCGTCGCCAGGCAGGCCGGGTCAATATCAATCGGGCAGGTAGGTACAGGGGGAGCAAGCGGAGAATAGTCAGGTCACGAGCAGGGTACAGCAACTAACAGGCAGGTAGGTACAGGGGGTCAGGCAGAGAATGGTCGGGGTCACAAGCCAGGGATCAGAACAGGAGAAGTCAGCAGAGGTCAGAATCAAGCCGGGTCAGCAACAAGACAGGAACAGATGCAGGATGCAGGAACAAGATACAGGGCCCAGGAAAAACACAACACCAAGGCAGAGTCTGCAGGTCTGAATGTCCCTTAAATACACCAGTATAATTAGTTCCAGGTGTTTGACTGGCTGCAAGGTTGAGTCTCTGATTGCTGGGAGCACCCGCTGGCCAGCCCTGGTACTGCAGCTCACAAGGCAGGTGAGTCCCACTATTGCTGGCCAGTCCATTCCTGACAGCTTCCTTTGTGTAAAATACCTGGTGTTTCTGCTAGTTCCCCTGCTTTCCTATTCAGACTGACCATGCTAGCCATGAGAGCACATTCATCTCAGCATGGTCAGTTTTATGGCTGTGCTGGGAGAACAGCCTTCCTGTCTTCCAGTGATCAGACTTGTGCTGACAGGCCCTCACTGCGCAGCCATTAAGCGGGAAAAATCAGTGTTTTTCTGCTTCTCCACCCCAGCTTTCTTGGGCCTTTAAGCAGCTGAAAACAGCGATTGTGTTTTCCCCTATAGAAAAAAATAAGATATTTATAATGTTTTTAATATTATTATTATTATTATACAGGACATGTACAGTACACACATGTTTTGTCTTTCATTTCTATTTTAAACTGATTGAGTTGTTACACAAGGTAAGGGTTCACATATACTTTAAACCATAGTGAATGCTGGATAAATGTACAACACCCAGATCAATCTCTCTACTCCTCAGCTCACCCCTTTGATCTCCTCATGTATCGCTGATTTACTGAGTGACATATCAATTTGGATTAGTGTATATATTTGTAGCACACTACGAATCTACAAATAACATCCAAATGGTTTTTATTGAAGGAAGATCACAGCACAACAAAAAGTGCAACATTTTGGAGCCACGCAGGACCCCTTTGTCAGGTATTTGACGCATAGTACCACACCTCTTATATTAGAATCCCCCTCATTATGGATGAAGGAGCACAGGGGGCACAATTAAGCAGCAGCTTTGTCAGTCTGGGGGGAAGGAAGTGTTAGTTGCGCTAGCAGATTTAAATACACTAACACATTGAAGCCAGACTTCAGCTAACACTTTAAAGGCAGTTACAGAAAACATTTTTTTTTTCAGTTTGGAATAAAAGTTTTACATCAATAAATGAAATATGTTCATTGTAAACATCACTGCCAGTGCTGAATGGTTTTTCTCATCTTTGTAAGAGAGCTTGTTCTTCTGAACAGCAACAGATTTATTGGTCAGATCACCAGATTAAAATAGAAAAAATAAAGACTAAAAAAGGCAACTAATGCAGTCATCACACCTAAGAATTGGCAAGCTGCTCTCAACAGTCTGCTACGCAAAGAGAAATTAGACCTACATCTTTCCAGCTCTCAAACCCACGGAATCTTATTGCCGTAAATGGCACCAATACATTACCAGAACATTTCCACCTTCCGAGCAATCCGAGCTCTTGACATGGTCTTAGTCTTAATCCGCTACCCTCAAGCCATAAACTTGTTGCAAAGAGGCATATTTTCCCAATGGCAATTATCTGTCCCTCAGTCCTCTCCGCTTATTACACTTAACTTTGGCCCCCGGATGACACCGTGGTCATGTACGGTTTCCACGGCACATGGTGTCATCACCTCCTCAGGTTATCTGTATACAGCACATGGTGTCACCTCCTCAGGTTATCTATATACAGCTATCAAAAAAACATATCTAATGTAATGGCTCTCATAGGTTCTGGTCTCCTCACCCTTCTCTTCTCTCCTTCCTCTCCCTTCCCTATCCTCTGCATCAGTGGTTCTCAACCTGTGGGTCGTGACCCCTTTGGAGGTCAAATGACCCTTTCACAGGGGTCGCCTAAGACCATCGGAAAACACATATTTCCGATGTGTACAGAGCAGCTACTGTGTAGAAAACAGCTGCTGTGTTGAAAGCAGCTACTGTGTTGAAAGCAGCTACTGTGTTGAAAGCAGCCGTATTGAAGGTAAAACGACACATGAATTATAATTACTGGGTAAAGAATTTTATGGTTGGGGGGTTCACCATAACATGAGGAACTGTATTAAAGGGTTGCGGCATTAGGAAGGTTGAGAACCACTGCTCTACACCATTCCTAATACTCCTCTCTTCTTTCCTCTCCCCTTTTCACCTATCTTCATCCTTATCCTTCTTCCTACTTTCTTCTCCCTTCCCTACCTCCCACCCATGTTTAACCCTCACATAGCTCACTATATTATTTGCTAGATCTTATCTCGCTATGGTCTATTAACATCTTACTTCGTCATTGATGTACTATGTATTATGTCAGTCTACTTTTAAGATGCCAAGGGTCATCATATGCCTAAACTCACGGTTATGCTCTTTTATGTATAGCTTGGCACATGCTCCTCAGAGCAAGACTTTTTATATCATTTGTATTTTTTTTCTCTTCTGTGATTTATACAATTGTATTTGCTGCTTGCGTATTCTTTTCAGTTTTGTATTGAGGAAACCCAATAAATATTTATAAAAAAAAAAAAAAAAGAATTGTCAAGCTGCAATATAATAAATGTTTGCTTTGGGTTTAATAACACTTTAAGTTAAATACATAAGAGCAGTGAATCTCCTAGTAGTATCCCCAATAGGTAGGCAGGACTGCAGAACTGGGTATCCAAGAGATATAAGGGATTGCTGGATTATTCAAGCATAGGGCGGATTGACCCTTGAACAGTAACAAATCCATAGTCAGGATTGAAGACATAGTCCTAGTTGCACATGGAGATAGAAACACTTCCAGACATTTGTGTCTATGTAAACATATCATGATCATCCAGTACTGTGGCTGTCACCCATGGGTCAGTGGCTCTGCTTTTAGTAACAAATCTTGAGTGCTTATGGTAACATTTTATTACACTTCTATAAAAAAAAAAGTGAAATGTGGCAGCTGGTAAGTTTTATTTAGACCTTTAAAGGCTTAATGTTAATCAGGCTGCTACAGGGGAACAAAGCTACCAGCTGTTCATCATTGTCACTATGAAGCAGACTGAAGATATTGCAATAAAATAAATGTACATTATAGTTTATAGTTTACATCCATAATATTGTTCTGTGTATTGTGCTTTGCAAGGCTGTGTTGGATATAGAAAGCAGCCCTGGCATTTAAATCCCAGATTCCCCCCAAGCTGTTTGCCTCCCACCCTTCTTGGAGCACCCTTGCAACCTTTAAAAAATATCTTTATTCAAGGTGTTTTTGGACTGATCAGGTTTTTTCATCAGCATCATAGAGGTCGTAAACCTATTAAATGAAAAATGAGCATAGCATATTATTATTATTATACAGGATTTATGTAGCACCAACAGTTTGCTCAGCGCTTTACAATATAAAGAGAGACAATACAGCAACAACACAGTTCAATACAAGCAGGTTAGGAGGGCCCTGCTCCTTAGAGCTTACACATCCTTCTATAGTGCGATGGTAATATTCTTGATCTTGTCTTC